ACTACGCGTGCAGTTATAAACAAGACGCGGACGGACGGGAGACGCGGAACACCGGGCCGGCGACGTTAAACCGAAACTTACCGCATATGCGGCACCAGGCAGCGAGCGCGAGCGCGCGCGCGCGCGCGCGCGCGGCCACGTGCGCGGGACCGCGCACACACGCCGGGTTTATCGAATATCTTGTTATAGGTAGGCTCGTATGGGACATGGAGTGCATATGAAGTGCAGTGAAAGCACTACCATATTATGTACATGCTCCGCCACAAGGCAAAATGCACGCATGCAACAAGTGCGTGCAAATATCATCGGTGCAGATAATACCATCATGCTCAGCTTGGCAATATCGCGCAGACACGATCTGGAGATTCAATTGCCCGATCTGTTATTAGATGACTTTGATACAATCGCTGCCGAGCGAGTCGAAACAATCCCGCCCCGCGCGCGAATAATGCGACGTTCGAAAGATTTTTTTCCACGCACGTGTCTCGCTCTTCTACTCGTTCTCTCATTTGACATTATTCGCTTCTCATCGTAACGTTTCCAAATTTTTCGATAAACTTAAAAAGAGCTTTTTTTACAAAGTGAAAAGAGAGATAAATTTGCTTCTTTTTATAAAATTTCTAAATGGTTGGATAAATTTCTTCAATGTGTAAAACATTATCGTTATGCAGTACTACAAAAAATGACTTTTTTAAATCCTAGAAATACAATTATCATTTTCCATAGATTTTTATATAATCTCTATCCTCAAAATGCTTTATTATCTCAAAATTAAAAAAAATTTATATTTAAATTTACAAAAAAAGATACTTTAATATGTTTTATTATGTCAAAATGGTATGCTGAAATAATTTTATTCCGCTTAAAATTAATCATTATATCATTAGAACGTTTAAAAAACTAGAACTAGAAAAAAAATTTACTATAAGGATTAATTTAATAAATTTCTTATCATAGAAAAGATATTAGATGTACTACATCATGAATTGAAATATTATAAGACAATGAGTAAAAAAATTGAACATGAAATCATTGAGCATCACAAATAATCTACATAGAATATTTTTCAATCTTTCATTTAAACCTAAAATTGTAATGTAAAACACAACAAACAAATCGGAACATAACGCTTTTATAAGCTTATTAAAATGTATATATTAAAATATATTTTGATTTTCGTTAACAGTTGCTGGTTCGGGAACCGGAAGCCATCATCCCGGTACGCCCGGTGGAGGTGCCGTGTTTCCAGGGACCATCCAGGGTAGCATCGGTGATTTTTCCGGGACTGGCCTGGTCTTTCCGTGGGCGACGAACGCGCGCGGAAAGCCACGCCGAGGGATGATGAGGAGAGCTGTTTTCTCGGATCTTCAACGACGCGGACTTGAGAAAAGGTTCCAAATACAAAAGTACATCAGCAAGCCGGATCGTAAGAAGCTCGCTGAGAAACTGGGCCTCAAAGACTCGCAGGTAAGTGGATGTGTCACAAATTGAGAGAATTACTTTAATATCGAAATGTTCGACAGGCGGAAAGGATTTTCAATATTTAGAATTTTCAATATTTAAACATAGTTCAAATATTTGTGAGTACTCTAAAATAATAATTGAAACATATCGTCCCCATTGAACCTGCCTCATTATTTGCATTAGTTTCGATAATTTATCCGTGATGACTGATTTAGTCATCATTTAATTTGTACAGAGTTTTTACAGAGCTCGCGATAAATTTACTTCCTCGATAAATTTGCAATTGTTATGAGACGCAATTGTTTCTCTTCTTCTCGCGCCGATGTGGTTTTCCGTGCGCGCAAATCAATTGCATATCAATTATAGCGCGCATCGAAGCGCATAATTCGATTCCTTGTGATCCAGAATCCTCGCTCTCGATAATCGCATCAGGCATGTCATATGCAGGCAGATTTGCATACGCGATGATAGGCGGATGTGCTCGCGTTGTATTACAATCGAGAAACAGTGCCGTGAGCATTAGAGACGGCACACGGTGTTTAATCTCGTGCTTAATGATCTCCTCGGCGCAATACTAGTTGAAGCTAATCCGCGCAATGTGCTAATCTAAACCGTAATTAAACCAGAAAATTCGCTAACTTTAACAAGAAAAAAATAACTTCGTCATTAACAGATTGCTATGTAACTACGTTCATTATGCGTGGAAAGAAGAACTTTGTTGTGGTATGTAAAAATTTCCCCAAACACAGATCTAAAAATAATTTTGTTGGACCACCAAAATAATTACATGTAATAATAATAATGCAAATTTTTTATATTCTAGCAATTTGAATATTCTATATAATAATTTTGACGACTTAGCAAAATTATTTTCAGATCTATATCTGGCTAAATTTTTAAATATTTCAGCAAAATTCCTCTTTTCGTAGCTTTTCCTCGTCATCATGATTTTTGTACAATATTTTTGTACAATATTTACGCTTGATTCTTTTTTGTAATCAGTCCTGAATTTTATTACATAATTTTTAATGAATCAAAGGATTGTTTGACATGCAGCGCGTTAGAATATAATATAATATTTATCGATACACGTAATTGAATAAACGTAATCGCGTTTATTCATTCGCACGATCATACTTTTCCACGATTCTTCCTTCTTCCATTGCGATCTTCGTAATAAATTTTAACTCCGCTTATATAAATTTTGGATGATTGAAATTTCCAGCTAATTAGGTCGACGAGGAGGAGTCTTTTGAAAGGAATATCCTCTCGGGATGACTCCCGGCGAGAGATAATCGCGCCGGGTTTCCGATAACGGGCCGCCATAATCGGGCAGTTAGGCGCGTGCAAGATGCGAGAAGATGGTACGCTGCGAATATATATTGTGCTTAATGACGTTATTAGGGCACTAATCGTCGCTCTAACGAAGTACGAGTCTCTCGTACTCGACACCGAGCAAATTTAGTCTCGCCGTTGCCGACACTCTCTCTCTCTCT